CAGCTCATGGTTGCTGTCACCCAGCTTCCCATTGATCACTAGGTCACCGATTAGGTCATCCCCAGTAGCCAGTACCAGGTCGAGCAGCGCTTGTTGGCCTGTAGACTTCTTGAGTCAGGTAGAGGTCATCCACGTACGATAGGAAGCTTTGCAACTGCTCGGATTTTGCTGAGTGATCTTCCCACGAGATGTCTGGTTAATTGAAGTCACCCATGACAACCATGGTCTTGGAGCATGCAGCCTCAGCCAGTTCCCAGGCAAACTCCTGGTCAAGCTCTTGACTTTGGGTGGGAGGTCTGTAGTAGACCCCCACGGATTTTAACCCAGAGGGTCTCCAGTTGTCCACCCTGGTCACCAACATCAGCTTGCAGGGATGCGTAGCTTTCCTTATCATAGAGAGCTACACCCCCTTAAAGGACTGGAGCTGGGGTGGGTGGAACAGCCATGGGGGGGGCTGGGACAGCCTTTAAGAAAAAAACAAACACAAACCCCCACCCGGGCTCACCATTCCTGCCAGGTGGGGAGTGATCCCCACTGCCCCATGCCATGTGGGGGGCTCATGAAAAAGCCCCTCCCTCCTCTGCCCCCTACTTACCAGCTCTAAGTCCAGCTCCAGCTCCCTGTTGCAGCAGATGGGGACTGTCTGAATCATCAAAGCTCTCCGAATCTTTTCCGAAAATTTGGAGAGCTTTGAATTGATTCGGATCTTTTTACTGGTCTCCTGCTTTGGCCACTGAATTGGGCCAAATCTCCTTCAAATTGAATCAGCACCTGAAGCTTCATGCAGCCCTAATGAGCAACATACAAGAGACACCACAAGTTACTGGAGAAGTACCATCAACACTACTGGTAGAAGATTCTTTGAATCCAGTGGGAAGACAGATGCACCAACATTAACGTTCTCTCACAAGCAAACACCATGAGCATCGAGGCAATGATCATCCAAAATCAACTTCATTGGGCTGGCCATGTCATCTGGATGTCTGACTCTAGACTCTGAAGCAAGTATATTCTCCCAGCTCAGTCAAGGCATACATTCAAGAGGAGAGCAGAGAAAGTGCTTTAAGGACGTCCTCAAGGCCAACTTGAAAAAATGCAATGTTGACATCAACTCATGGGAGACTATTACCCCAAATGGAGGAAGTCTCTGCTGTAAAGATCTCAGTACTTTGAAACCTTACAATGACAACAGGAGACTGTTGTCTGTTTGGTGGCTCAGGGGCCTGGGTGCTGAACTGCCAGCTGAAAGGTTGTGAGCCCAAAGATCAGTGTGGGCATCTCAACTTCAGCTTGAAAGAGCAGCTGTTGTGGGTTTTGGAACTTTTAGTTACCTTCTGAGGCTCCTAGTGTGTCATGACCGAATTAAGAATCCAGAGCCACGCACCCCACATAGAAATGCACTTGAGTTGCATCAGAGTCTGTTGATCCCAGATAGGTCTTGTCAGCCATCTTCAGACCCACAGATAAGAGAACCAAGGAAGACAATCATCCTCAACTGCGAGAGATTGCTGAAGAAGAGTTACTTCCAAAATATATTCAAGTTAATTTTCTCTGTATGGTGCTTGGATGTTAATACATTGATGGGCACATTGCCAGGGAGAAGGAACTTCTCTACTTTCAGAACAATTTTAGTGGCAGTAGACTTTGGTCATAGAACAATGACACTACTATGATATCAGATTTCAGCAGAGCAGGGTCAGATATTGAAGTAGTCAGCATCTACTATGGTGCCAGTTTCTCTGAAGAATTGAATATCTTGTAGATCCCAATGTCATAGTAGTTGCTCTTTAAGCCTCAGTACCCAAAGTGATTCGTTTTTTTGAAAATCTAGTTCTTTGTTTTGAAAATCTGGCTCCATATTTAGGCGCCTAAATGAAAGTAAGCTTTTTGGAAAAACTAGCTTCTTTTGTGGTTGACTCAGTAGGTTCTTAACGTTTAACTTTTGAAATGTTTTAAAGTATTATACAGCTCTCAGAGTTCCTGTTTTAGAAATGTTTGAAGCATTAGGATCACAGAAAAATGTGATAGGAAATAGAGTGACACCCCAATCATAAGCATGGCAGATATTCATAGCCAAGCAAGCATTTTGTGTGCTGGAACATAGTGAGCATCATGACAGTTATAATGTGCAAGGTGAAAGGAGAGACATGCATTCAGTTTGTGATTGCATTTTTGATGGTCACAATTCTAAGAGAATACTACTTGCCCAGCATGAGCCTTTCCTGTAAATAAATCTGCCTCTCACTGAAGCTTCAAAATACTCTTTCACTGTTTTATACTTGTCTTACATACTTGTGTGTTTTCTAGTCACAGGTAAAAATTCAGTATTATAATTAATTATTCATTTTTGTAAAGAATTTTAAGTTCAAAATCAAATTTGCAGTTGTTTCTAGTTTTTTCACTGGTCAGAGAGAGACAGTTTACTGTGGGGCTTGGGTGTGACTGCTGGCATGATATTTGGCTACCTGAGGAAGGCTGCAGACATCCGTCTCCCTCCTCCTGCCAGGCTCCTGAGTTATAGTCACAAACACAGAGCTTTAGATGGACACATTTCAGTTAAATTATTTTCTGCCTTCTCACAGCACAGCATAAGCTTCTTAAACTCCAAACTCCACTGCCAAGGATGGAGTGGTTTCAAGAGTGCTGACATTCCAAAGGGACTTTTCTCATTCTAATTATAGAGTTACTACTTCATACTCCATGTAGCTATATGGCATTATCAGTCGTTTCAACCCTTCATTACTTTCACAGTTTGACAGGAGACTAAATGCAAGTATTTGTTTGGCTAAATATATTCAGTTCTGTAGAGACAAATTCATTTAAAAAATATAGTGGGCAAGGCAATCTTTAGTTTTAATTGAATTGCAGTCAAACTACAAAATATTAATGAGTGTTATATAGAGTGTTTATGTCTTGCTCTCTGCTGGACAGTGTAAAGGCATTGAACAGAAATCCGGTGTACTTCTCCAAAAACAGACTTCCTAATGCAATCTAGAAAAGGAAGGAAGTGTCTTAGTTTTCATCTTGGACTCAGTGGGCGCTTATACATGTGACAAGGGTGCGTCTATACATGCTCTGCAATAAAGCATCACCATCTACATGTGTGCTCCTACTGGGGTGCAGTAAATTAATTAACTCCAATGTAGTATAGTACTGACTGGGACAAGTACTATCCTATGGCAGAGTTATTTAGTGCACCTAAACACATGTGTAGTCAGTGACTGGGGCAGGCTGGGGCATGAAGGTGTTATAGTGTGTGCAGTACTGTACCTAGGCTCTTGGCAGCGCCGGGTGAACTTTTAGTATTGGGCCCCCCTTCACCAGAGATAATGATAATAATAATTGGACAACGGAAACAAGTTTACCATTTTCAGGCCCCTTTTCTGTCTGGGCCCTAGGCAGCTGCCTGGTTTGTCCATGCCTGTGTCCTCCTCTCAGTGTGTGGGCTGCCTGCTGGTTAGCTCTGCACTGTAGCACCCTTGTGCCCCAGCCAGCCCCTCTGCAGCACACTGAGCTTGGATGGAGTAGCTCTGGCTGGTAGGCTGACCTCCCTGGCCTCCTGCCAGCCAAGGCTGCGCTGCCCTGGCTCAATGTGCTGCAGTCCCGGGCACACATGGAAACCCTGCACCTGGGAGCAATAAACTCCAGCGTGAACTGTGCTGGATGTACCCAGTGACAGGAAAGGTAAATACTTGTTTTGAGATGCTGGCTGTGACAGGAAGGAACTTTATTTCCTTTGTCCTGACCTCAAAAATCTATGAAACCAAATATTTGGTAAGATTTTATGCCATCATTGCACTCACACTGGACAACCCCAAAGTTGTTCCTTTACTCTGCTAACTGGGAGAGAAATTGAACACTGAAGAAAGGGCAATAAAGGCCTGGCAATAGTGAATTTCAGTGAAGTTGGAAATACCCTACATCACAACAGAACTGACAGTTGCTCACACCCTGGATTCCATGATTACTGTTATAGATAAATTCCACAAGCTTTTTTTTTGTTCCTTGTGAAGGAGTGGAATGTAAAAAAAAAAATCTCATATAAAAATAGCTCTTATGTGGAAAAGCATAGGCAGGTGACTGTGCCGGGTCTTCTCCTGCATTAAGGAAATTGGTTTCAGGTGGAAGATTAGTGCTAGAGTGGTAAATTTCACTGTAGCTATGGGTAGCACTGAGATTATTCTAAGATTCCTAAAGAAACAAGCTATATTATTCTGGAAGGCTGTCTATAATTATTGCTAGTAATTAGGATGGAGTTTTTAGTCACAATTTTGGAGAGAGGAGAGGAGATGAGACCTCTGATTTATACAAAAGGAGAATGAGTATTCCATGATGAGTAAAGTTGCATGTACTACTGACTACCTTTTACCAAAAATCTGTAATGGCTTTTTAAATTAAACTTTAATAACTTTATCAATAAAGCTATGGCTCAATTGAGACCTTATTTTAAACATGGGAAAAGTGGCCATTTTTCAAAACCTATACAATGTCCTATAACTCTGAGGTGTATTCATCTGATCATTCATACATATTCAAAGTCTCAGTGTCTCCATGTCAGTTAATAAATTTACAAAACAGGTATACAATGAAATAAAATTAAATATATTATTATTATTATTAGCTAAATGCTGTTTTTAACATTTATGCCGAAACTTCAGATCCTGTCTAGTGACTGTCTTAAAACCCATGTGAGTTCTCAGATTGGTCCATACCATGGCAGGGAGTAACACAGAATCATCAGCTTACATATTAGTCTGCATCTGAAATGCTCTTTTCATACTTTGGAAAAAAAATATCACCTGTGTGTTAAATGATTGGAGACAGAGACAGTTGTAGTTAGGAGCCTGATCTGTCTTAGATGATCTCGAGGATTCAAGTGTGACATTTTAACTATAGAAATACTTATAAAGTACTTACATGCGTCGGAAGGTCGTTCGAATATCCATATCTCCAGCTGCTGGTGCTTCTAGTATGGCATGCAGAGGAAAAGGGGAGCAGGAAGAGAGTTCTAAGTGTCGCATGAATGAGACATGGTGGTTTTCCTTTTTAAGCCATTTTGGTTTCAGACATTTTTTTCAAACTTTTTAATTTTAAATATCATTTCAGGCCAAATTTTAAAAGGTATTTACACAATTGCCCTCATTGAATTTACCCTACATACCTGCAAAAATATGCCCTAGTGACTGGAACCCAATGGTTAATACAAGGGGGTCTGAATTTTATCTCGGGGTGGGAAATGCATCTTAATTTCTTGATGCTTCAATTACCTGTCTCTAAAATTTGGCTGGAATACTGACCTCACAGAAGGTCACCTAGGAAGTTAATGCCATTTGTTTGTTTGCCCCATTACCCATCGAGGTTGCCAGTACAGAAATAGAGGGGGTGAGCAGCAGGGATGTTAACTCCCTGGGTTCTGAAGCTGGGCTGAAACAGTGGTTTGGGCAGCTGTGGGGATTACTACCACTGCTTGCAGGTCCTGTGGCTCATGGGAAGCCCTACCAACTTGATCCAGCTTGCAGGAAGCCCTGCAGTCCAGATTCAGTTCATGAGGCTTTAGCAGAATACCTAACAAGCTTGACACCCCTACTCTAGCAGAAAAGAGGAGTTAGGGTTGATGACGTTTGCACTGTTTTAGCAAAATTCTTGGTAACTTATTTCACAGTAAATATAAATTGATAGATAAATATATTTCCTTTAATCACTGGTAAGCTTTTACAATGCACCTGTTTTCAGGGCAGCACACTAGTAAGTGCTTAGCATAAACATCTTGTAAAGTTAGGCAGCTAATCTTCTGGCAATTTTCTAGTTCCAGAAGCTTCTGCAGGGCTTAAATTTGACAGGAGGAAAGGAAGTGATAGGAGTATCAATCTTGAACTTTTCTAGTTTTTTTTCTCCTTTTTTTTCATATCTCCACACTGAGGTACTAAGCCTTTGGCAAGTTAGTTTATTCTCAGCATTCTTTCTAATTTTACTGATTTAAATGCTCATGAAAATATGAGATTGAGGTTAGGATAAAGCCAAAGATAATGTAGAATAATCTTCCCCTGATCTCTCTATGTTGATCTTTCAATGCACCTCAGTTCTGGTCTGAATTACACTATACTGTTCTTTCCTCAGCCCACAGCCCTGCCATTACATCTCTATTCTAATCTGTAGCATTTCTACCATCTTAGGCTGGGTACAGACATTACACTTAACATGCATTAAATGTGCAGAAAGTACTTTAAAGCCATAACAGAACAGATGTTCATGGCACTTAAAGCACTTTAAAAATGGCAGATCGTGCTCTAAGTTAACCCTTGGTTGATGTGCTATCAGACTAAAGTGCTTTAGGTTAGAGCACTTTTTTGAACATAGATGCCACATCCATCATGTGTTAAGCTAGGTCGCATTTGCTAGCATCCCAGAGGCCCCTTGCAGGGCAGCGTGCTCACCTCTGGCAGAGCTTGCCTGTTCTGCCTGTGCCAGGCTGGCCCCACCCCCTCAGCTGTCACTTACCTGAGTCACTTACAGCTTCTGATCCCAGCAAACCATGA